GGGGGGGGGGGGTGACTGACTGACTCTGAAAAGCATTTAGAAATCACAGAATACAAACTTAATACAAGCTCTCAATGCAAAGCTGTGAGCAAAAAAAAGAGATAATATAATCCTTGGATGTATAAATAATAGTAAAGGGTCAAAGATCTCAATTTTGATAAAGTTATCAAAAAAACAAGGAGACTACTTGGCTGTAGTTTATGAGTACATTAACTGGGAGAAAATACTGGTACTAAACAGATCTTTAGTCTAATGAAGAAAGGCCCAACAAAAACTAATGGCAAGAAGGTTAGGCAAAATAGACAAATACTTAAGCTACAGAACTTCTAACAATAAGGGCAAATTAATCATTCAAACAGCTACTAAAGGTAGGGCTAGTTTCCCCATTTATTGATGTTTTCAGATCTGCTTCAAACAAATTCTTGGGCTCAAGACTGGATGAAATATTTAATGGCCTGTGACATACCTGCCTAGGGCCCTGCCTAGAAAACACCTGTTCCTTCTAGTTTTCAGTTCTATGAATAAATAAAATTTTTGCAACAGGAATTTAGTTAACTGCAGTGATAAGCAGAAACAGAATTCAACTGCTGACTCGAATGTAAAAGCACAAAAAGGAGATAACCTAACAAAAGCAGGTAGAAACACCCTCAAATAGAGGCTGAACTTGATTCATCAATGAATAACTGCTCCATTGTGAAATGGCTGCCATTTTCTATTGTTCTCAATGGGACAAAGGACATAGGATAGGACAAAGGGGCAAATACTGAAAGGTGACTTTTACAGAATGATACAGATCACATAAAAAAGCTGGGATCAATTAATTATGTTTGTAATTACATTAAATTCGTCCATTATTTCAGCTGCAAGTCACTTAGAGAGGGGAGGGGACTGTATCCTGGAAAAAGTTATTCTGAAAGGGCTTAATGCTGACACACAACTAAACAAAAATAAGCTCTCAGTGGGATGCTACGGGTAAGGTGGCTAATATAATTCTTGGATATATAAACAAGGGAATAATTCAGTAGGAGGTGGGATGTGGCATTAACTCAGAATAAAGTACTGGTGAAATCATTACTGTAATTCCATGTCCAGTTCTGTTGTCCATGTTTAAAAAGACCATGGAAACGCTGGAAAACATTCAGCAAAACTTCAGCAATTATTCAAGTTCTAAAAAACCAGCCTCATCACAACAATCTGAAAGAAGATTCATGTTTGATAGCTAAATAACTTTTACTCAAAGGCATGCATCAGATCCCAGAGCTCTAAGCTGAAGCAAAACAAAATTAAAATCAGAACATTAATTTCTGAAAGACATGTTAAAGCTCAAAAGCTCAACAGCAAAACATTGGGCTTAAAGGGTGGAAACCTGGGATGAAATTCTATGGTCTGTAATGACATGAGGCCAGGCTTAACAACTATAGAGGTTCCTCCAGCCTTAAGATCTACACATTTACAACCTGGCTTTCAGTCTCTAAAAAGAGTGAGGACTTTGAGGATTGAGTTTCCTTCCCAAACTCACCAGTGCAGGTAGTTGATGGAATAGCTCCAGTGGTCCTCAATATGCCAGCAAAATGAAGAAAAGCACATTCCTACGTACAGCCAAGGTAATTTCATTCCACATATATCTGCAGTGATGTGAGCAAGGACAGACTGCTCCATCACAGGCATATTGTTCAAATTCCAGCCACTGTCAAGATACTCCTAAAAAAATTAAACAGAAAAGAAAAAAAAATTATAGAAATTAAGCAACACTAAGTGCAAAACAAAGGCAAAACTTAAGAGTACAATTTCTGATAGAAAAAATAGTCTTTTTCAATTGATAAAACATATGTATACATCAAGGAACTAATAGTTTTAAATGGGTTGGCAATCTATGGTTAATTGGCCAGATCTGGCCTGCAGAGCTGTGTCGTGCCTTTGATGGCATTTGGTGGTGAGGGGCTCTGCCCATGTCATGCTGCATCCAAGGGTTTGGCAAAGAGGGAGCTCTTCCTCTGCCACAACCAGGCAGCTCAAAGAAGTGGTAGAGGCAGCTGGGACCTTCAACCTGACTCTGCAGCATCTGTATAAACTGGATACTTCAACAGGGCTTTTTGGCTCTTTTAGCTAAAGCCGAGTCAATCAGCTATTAGAGAGAAGCACCAAAATAGACCCGCTAAAGCACCTAATCTATACAGATGTTGGGCAAGCCAGATCCAACTAAGGTGCTGCCTCTTCTGGGCATGCACCAGGCTCAGTGCGAGAGTGCAACAAGTTTAAAGCATTTTTGTAAACATCTCCAAGTAGCCATTGATACAAAATTAGATATTTTTTCTTCCAACTGAAACATCATTTAATATAGAATTGGACTGGTAAAACTCTCAGACAAATATGTCCTCAAGAGTGTCAATTGAGACATACTTCTTCTTCAGGCCGAACTTTAAATTTCCCATCTCTAACTGGAAAGCCACTGCCAAACTCCTTTGAAGCAATGTCAGCCCCATATTCCACTGTGACATCCTCTTCAATGGTGCTAACAAGTCGCCAAAACTCCTTTTCAACCAGCTCTGTAGGAACCATCTGGATAAAAAAATAAATAAATAAAAAGACAATAAGTCCACAACAAAAGCTGCATTTCCTCAGGTTTTGCCTGTAGTTCTGTAGAAACTCAATACGTACAAGATACGTAATGGCAGAAAACTCAAGGAGGAAGTTCCTGGGGCTTCAAATATTTCCCCCAAATGACACTGTGGTTTCAACAACTATACTTGAGCTCTGTTGCTTACATCCAGTGCACATGTTCTCTGTTTTATTACTATAAGCTTGAAAAAGTAGTTGCTTATTAATTCAACTATGCAAAACTAAACTAACATAGCAAAATGCGGATATTTGACTTGTAAGCTCCAATTTACAAAAATATAAATAATGCTGCTGCTTTGTGCCTTTAATAAGTGACACTGTAGAGAAAGTTTGAAGAGGAAAGTAGAGGGGTTAGAACAGAAACTGAAATACTATCAGTGGGAAGAAATATGCAAACAATTTACATGAATGACAACTTTCCACTTGTTCTTATCTAAACTCAAGTTTCCATTCCACCCACTGTGTAATATTTTGTTAAGCACAAAAATCTTATCTGAATTACAGAGCAAACAAACGTACATGTACAGGCATGTTAAAATAGTCCGACTTGAATGCATCTGCCATCTCTCCAAATGTGCGGAGTGTGTAGTCTCTTGCTGCTTGTTCAAAACCAAATGCTTCTTGAGGTTTATTACACTCCTGCAATTGAAACATGGTTATTTTCTGCCAATGAGTTAACAATGACAAATATAACTTTGTACCTTTTAGTGCTTCACACAGGTGGGTCAGTATTGCCTCCCTTTTACAAATAAAGGAAGCTTGGACACTCCACTGAAATGAATTGCCCCAAGGGCACACAAGCAGCCAATCAAAAGTCAGAAATACAACTTTGAGCCCTGACTCCTACTTCTGTGATTAATTCACCAAACCATGACATGAATTGCTTTGTACAATGCTATGAATCATTAGTAGGGGCAGCATAACCCGGTCCCAGCAAACTGTTTCCTCTACTACAGTGAAGCAGAAAACAACACATAAAACTCAATGTTGTAAAACCCAATGACACAAAAGTATAATGCCATTATGTTAAGAGCTACCTAAAAACTAAAATATCCTTTTCTGAAAGGTTTACATTAACTTTGTGCTTATTTTATAACAATTTAACAATTCAAAATGCACCCAGTTCTTTTATTGTTTCATCCTCTACCATACACTTCACAGGACCATTTTAAAAGGTAATAATAAACTGCAATTCTGAATTTCCAGTAGGAGCAAGGAGAGAATAAATACTTTGCAGCCTGTTTTCTGGATTACCTGAGCCAGACACTGGGGACACCTCCAGTCCCCTTTGGGAACATCATGAAGGGGTGGAATTAAACAAAAAGTGTGGTAACTATCATCACAGCCATCACACAACAGAAGACGGTCTTCATCATTACCACTACCACACAAGAGACATACATACAAGTCCACCTGCAACAAGAAATTATCAGAGTGGGAACTGAAATGCTTTCAAATAGTTTATGGCAAAAAAGCAATTTGTAAATTAAAATAATCTGTAGGTTCTTTTCCACCCATGAGGCAGTCCTCTTTTTTTTTTTTTTTTGGAAGCAACAGCTGCCATGTAGCACCACAAGAAGCATCTGAGTTAGAGTTTAATTCGATTCAATTTATTAAGGATTCTGGCTAAATGCCATGCTCCCGAAAATGACATAACACACGTACAACCATAATATAAATAAGTTCAAACAAAGTAACCAAACTACAAATATTATACTAAACTAGAGCCCACCAACATAAACCATTATTAATATAAATGTAGTAGTAAATCAAAACATGAATCTATAATATTGTTGTACATAGATCCACAACTGAGACAAAAATAAAATCTAATGTTAAAATCTATCACTCACATCGGTAATAAAGGATATTTAACTCTAACCGCCTCACCCTTACAAGCAAAAATTGCAAGATAGTTTTCTAAATTTGCATCTGTTTGCTGTAAAAGCCAGATTAACTTCTCTGTTTGAAAAATGTACCAGTTTCTGCAAGAACGGTAATAAATAGGTTCTCCTCATGTCATTATATAAAGAACATTCTAAAACATAGTGGACAGATTCATAGATGGTATGGGGCTTGCAGGGACCTTGTAGATCATCGGGTCCTGGTCCCTTGCACTAGGCAGGAAAAGACAACTGGGGTCAAGTTACCCCAGAGGGGTGACTGTCCAGTCTCCTTTTGAAGATTTCCAGGGTAGGTGACTGAACCACCACCAGAGGGAATTGATTCCACTATCTTCCAGAACTCCTGCATAGACTGGGCAACATCTTTTAGACCTTGGAATGGAAAATCTACATCCAGCCAAAACAGCTGTGGGCATCTGTTCGGTCCTGAGTCTAGTCAAAGACGACTGCCATTTATTATTGAGATCCAGCTGTAAATACCTTTCTTCCCCCTAGTCTAATTTGCACACAGTATATATAAAAGGGCCACTGCAAAATCATTCTGCCTGGCAATGTCTTGTATCCTCTGGAAAACCCAAACCTTTTCTATGGGGGAGAAAAATCTTTCATCATCTTTGAGATAGTATCCCATCCCAGAAAGTGCAAAATACAGGAAAGAAAAGCTAACCAGGGTGATTGGAGAGGAGAGGGATTATTAATATCTTCTACGTAGCATAATTTAAGCAGACGAGATGGAAAAAGGGGCAGAATTTTAAACCAAAATCCCAATATTCTAATAATAATATTGGTTAAAAAAGAATCCATTCCTGTCTCTAATCTCAAAAAAGATGCAGGAGTTGAGGGATGAAGAGCCAGAAGAGCCCTAAGAAACTTTTTCAGAGGTATGTCTACATCATTACTAGCGCCATAACCCCATACTTCAGCAGCATATAAGATCTGAGAGGTACCTTTGGCTTTATATGATGATATAGGAGCTTAGACTGATCGTCCTGCTGTGGTTTCATAAAATTTCTTTATAGTCACAGCTAATTGGGCTGCCTTAGTTTTAACTGACTGAATATGATGCTTCCATGATGGAGAAACTGTGAACAACACACCCAAATACCTACAGATTTTGACAACTTCAAGTTTGGTTCCCAGCATATTCCATGGCTATTTCATCAAATGACTTCCCCAATGCATTATTTTGGAGTTATCATAATTTATCTTTAAAGTTATTTTGTCCAAAGATGCTCAGAAGTTGTAACTGCTCTCTGTAATCTAATTAGGAGTTCTTGACAGTTTAACAGTGTCATCTGTGTACGTTTAAATAGGGATCGGGGTTGCTAACAGTTTTGGGGGATGAAAATGCACACCCTGCATATTTCCAATGATGTCATTCATATAAAGATTAAATAACAAAGGGGCCAAAATACAAAAAGACAAGGATGTATGTGAATTTATGTGTAAGTTCTCCCTTCAAGCTCCACCTACCTTGGGCCCATGCATCTTTCTAATAGTCTATCAACAAATGCAAAAGAAAAGGGTCAGTCCCATAATTTATCAATTTCACCCACAATCTACTTTTATCTACACTGTCAAAAGCTCTTCACAAGTCAACAAATGCAATATACAGTGCTGGCTTATGCATTTGTGTATACTTAGGTCTCAAAAATTGTAGAATACATACATTATCAATAGTTGAATATATCTGTCCCTAAATCCGATCTGATGTTAATGTAATATGTTTTCCCCTTTTACCCATACTATGAGATAATATAACAAATGGCACCCAAAAATTTTACCTGAAACATCTATCAAACTTGTAGGGCGATAAGATTCTGGCTTATCTTTTAAACCTTTCTTGAAAAATCAGTACAATAATACTCCCTTTCCAGGAATCTGGGATTTGGCCCAACTCAGTTATAGAGTTATACCATTTTTCCAAGATTGGAATCCATCATTTGATGTTATCAACGTAAACTTCCACCGGTATTCTATACGGGCCTGGGGTTAAGAGTTCAAGCAACAATATAAAAAGTGGGTTTGCTGAAGATTTGGGTGCTAAAACTCACAGCTTAACCAGTCAGAGGTGAATCATCAAGAGATATGAACTATTATATTTGCAGCAGCTTCAAAAAGGAAGGGGAAGTTGCTGCTCAGGACTGCACGACAGGTAAGTATGTGCCTGTAGCAATGCAAGTGTGGCAAAACAGCTCCAACTACAATCCTGCTTCATCCAAGGTCTAAATTGAAGTGATTTAGCTCACTCTTAAAGCTACAGGATCACGCACACAACTTTTACAATGTGCGGCTGCTGAGCAGTGTCAAGCAACAGCTCCCCTTCCCCTACTGAAGGTGCTTCAAGTGTACATTTGTCCATGCCCAAGAAAAGGACATCAGGAGACCAGCCCCAAGAAGAACTATCTGGTTTTCTGACTGGTCTTTCATACTTGTAATTTCTAGGCAGTACAGTGAGGAAGAAGAGGCATGATTTGTAACAGTAAAATGGAATGACTTATTTCCTACTTTATAGTGTGAAATCTTAAGGGAAGAATATTCCAGTGAGCAGACAGACATCACTTTGCATGGTATCTTTGTGGTTAGAACAAGACAAACTCTCTCACTGCATCTGCTACCCTGTGCACCTACTCGCAACCCAGAAACAACTGCAATCAGTGTTAAGCACCAGAAATACAGGGTGTACTCACTGAACTAGTGGGTTTTTTAGAGCGACTTTTCGGTTTCTCTTTCTCCACGTCTCCAATGTGTTCTCTCTTCTCAGTAAGTTCTTGTTTCACTGTGCTGTGTATTTCCTTTTCTGGTACAGCAAAAGAAAATCAGACTATTACAAAACATTGCAACAGCTCAGTAATTTGAAGCATACACTGGCCTGTTACTATGCATATCCAAAGCATTTCCTTTTAGTAACAAATTCACTTTTATAATCATGGATGGACAGGAAAGACTATAACAAGTAATTCTGTAGACAAGTATGCAAGTGTCTTCAAAGAGCTTTGCCCTACTATACAGCAACCACTGTACTTAGGCCTGCGTGAAAACTGCAAGCCATGCCAGATTTGATAGCTGGTTGAAAGACAGCAAACATGCTCCTATGTACTTTTAGGCAGCACTTGAAGCACCTACCTACAAAGAGAAAAATTATTAATAAGAAAAATGAACAAGCGTGGGAGTATAAATAGGAGGCCATTGTTACAGACAAACTAATTTATTTAGAGTGAATATTTGAAATAGTTTGAGGGCTTGGACACATGACATGGCTACACTGGTGTAATCAGCCTTTACACTGCTGCAGAACATGGAGAAGATAATTAAAAAATGCATTGCTTTTAAGAGCATGGTAATCCAGGGTAAAATCTGTAGTGAAAAAATACTTCCATGTTAAGTTATACCAGTAAAGAAATCATTGTCCACCTTCATCCCAGGACAGCTATTTTCTAAAGGCAACACCAGATAGTGCCATTCTCTTGTGTCATAGCACTGTAAGAGCACATACTGCAAGCAGCTACTCCTAATAGCTGCTCAACCTGCCACTCAGGTTCCCACTGTAATTTATACTGGTATACAAAATTAACATATACTACACCAATGTAAATATATTGTGTCCCCACCCTAAGTGACCCAAATGCCACCACTTTTCTCTGACATAAATGAACACAATTTCAGTTCAAGTGAGGCGGCTAAATTGTTCATAGAATCAGTGAGTTGGAAGGGACCTAGACAGATCATCGAGCCCAACCCCCTGCCATGGGCAGGAAGAGCACTGGGGGTGGCAGGGGTCATAAGACCCCAGCCAGGTGCCTATCCAGTCTCCTCTTGAAGATCTCCAGGGAAGGTGAGAGCACCACCTCTCTGGGAAGCCTGTTCCAGGCTCTGGCCACCCTTACAGTGAAGCAGTTCTTCCTAATATCTAACCTAAACCTCTCCTCCCTCAGCTTGTGGCCATTGTTCCTGGTGACTCCAAGGGGGGCCCTGGTGAACAGACTTTCCCCCAGTCCCTGCTGCTGGCCCCTGATAAGGTTGTAGGCAGCCACAAGATCTCCCCTCAGTCTCCTCTTGCGGAGACTGAAGAGATTCAGGTCCCTTAGCCTCTTCTCACAGGGCTGGCCACGGAGGCCCCCAACCATACGAGTGGCCTCCTCTGGACCGTCTCCAGGTTCTCCACGTCCCTCCCGAAGTGCAGCACCCAGAACGCTGAAGTTCTCCACACTCTGCCCAACTTGGAGTAGGTCCACAGAACTCTGAAGTTCTAAAGACTTTACTGGGATCCTTTTCATTGAGGTATGAAACAATACTATATATTCCTTAAATAATCGTTATTCTCATTTTCTTGAAGTGTTAACTTTGATGACAAATACTATCAAAAGCAAAAAATGATTTTGGATCTTAAAATAAGCTTGTATAAAGCAGAAGCATTTCATTCATATTGGGTATCACTCATTGAGGCATTTACCATTTTCACACTTTGAAGGTGTACATCCCATTCTGCGTCTCAAGTTATGAGTTCTGGCTCCTGGGGTCTCAGATTCAGTTTTGATATTAGTAGCCTTAAAAAAAGAAAAATCATATTTAGCCATTTAATCACTTCCTCAACACCTAGATATTGTTTGTATTGGTAACCTACTATTCACTGAAACCTAAATTACCTGAAACCAAAATGTTGCTTAACCAACCAGATCATCAGTACAGAGCCATATACCTGCTATCTGGTTAAGTGACCAATGGGGATTACACAACCTCTGGTTCAAGCAGGTAAAATTTTCACATAATGTTCCACAAAAAACTACATATATTAAGGATGCACCCAGAAAGATTTTCTTGGATGATACTGATAGCCAGATATTAGCCAGCCTTATTGGCCTATACCAACCGCTGATTATTAGCCAGCCATATCGGCTGATACCAATCCAATAGCTGATTTACAGGAACGCAGCTGGGCAGCCTGGAGAGCAGCATCTGGCAGGTAAGTTGGGGGTGGGGTGTGGGAGGGCAGATTGAGGCTCCCCATGGTGAGGGAAGGAGTGGGATGGGCATTCCTGGCTGCACACATGCTGTGGCTACACACATATATGGCATTTAAATCAGTGACATTACTGGCCATGTCAGCCAAAAAAAAGCCGACTGCTGACATTAAATCTGCCCCCCAAACCATTTTTCATTGCCCTATGCTGGACTCTCTCCAAGTTATCCACAACTTTTCTCTAGTGGCAGGGCAGGGGAGTGCAAAACTGGATAGTATTCCAGATGTGGCCTCACCACTACTGAATAGAGAGGAATAATCTCCTCCCTCGACCTGCTGGCAATACTCCTACCAATGCAGCCCAGTATGCCGTTAGCTTTCTTGGCAACAAGGGCACATTGTTCGGTCATATTCAGCTTATTGTCCACTGTAACCCCCACGTCCTTTTCTGCACAGCTGCTGCCCAGCCAGTCAGCCCCCAGCCTGTGCCGGTACATGGGATTGTTCTGTCCTAAGTGCAGGACTTTACACTTGTCCCTGTTGAACCTCACGAGATTTCTTTTGACCCAATTTGTCTCAGTCACTCTGAATCCTAGCCCTAGCCTCCAGCGTATCTACTACTCCCCCCAGCTTGGTGTCATCTGCAAACTTGCTGAGAGTGCACTCTATGATCAAGATATTGAACAAAACCAGCCCCACAACCGACCCCTGGGCTCTACATGGGGAAAAAGTCAGGTATCTAAGAACAAGGTCCGCACGAAACAACCAGAAACAGCCTGAACATGTAGGAAATCCCATGAAGAATGATACGGTCTCAGGTCACACCCTTCAAAGCTACTAAGGCCCCCAGCTCTGGGAGAGAGGTAGGCATACACATCACTCGGCATTCTCTGCTGGAAAAATCACCCCTGAAGTTAAAAGATTTATCCTAAAACCAACTCCAACTCTTCCCTTGTATTTCATGAAAGGAAGATACATGCAATACCAGTCCTACTATAACCAGTAACCCACTGATCAGAGCATTTATCTGATTGGTGGAAGACCTGTTCCCAATCCACACTCTGCCCAACTTGGAGTAGGTTCATGAAACCAGATCTCCCAAAATCTGTGCTAACCACAAAGCTGCTGGGTTTTCTGGAGTGGTGTTCTCAGTCTTTGCTACTGAGGTTGGTTCCACTTGATTAAATAATTAAATGTACTTTAGTGCAGAGACTTGAACCTGACTGTCCCAAATCCCAGATAGGTGTCATAATCATGGGCTATCGAGTCACTATCTCTTGATTTGTCTCTCCATCCCCATTATGAACCTATACGAAAATAAGGAGAATCCACTGCCTGTGAACACCCAACTGTTCTGAAGCAGTTCAGAATATAAAATCACCATTGATTTCATCAATTCCACTACAAGATTCCTTTCATGTCTAGGTTGCAGTTTTCCTGTTTGTAAAAGGGTCGATGCCACCTATAAACACTTCAGAGAAAGATTCGGCACTTGTGTTGTGCTTGGAAGTTGTGAAGTGTTACATATCAGCCACAGAAAATCTCTTGCCAAATAGATCTTAGGTGAAAGATTCATGGGTTTTAAGCACATTCAAACAGATGGCAAAAGAAGAACTACAGAATAAATGTTATGAACATACTACATGCATTCATTTAGTAGTCTGAAACAACACATGCATTACTGTGAACAGAATGCTAAAATTAGGACCCCAAGTTAAACCGGCATATGTCCTACGTGGCAGAGCTGCTTTGTTTCAAACTGAGGTACTGCAGACACAAAGGAAAATTCCCTCACCTCGGCTCTCAGGCGTTTTGCACGACGTGCAGGTGGACAAGTTTCAGATGGCTGAACAGACTGCCTCTGGGGAATATCATGAGGTTTATATTCCTTGTCCTTTGTATCATTGGTGAGGTCAGGCTTCTGCAAACACTATGAGAGAAGCACAATTTAGGTTAGTTCATTTTTCTCTTCATCACTTGCTAAAATTGCTCCTCACACAAAAAGTGTGTAAAGTATTTTTCCTGGATCATGTGAAAAGAAAGTAGATGTAAGACTTTGTATTTACTGTGCTGTGGTATCAAAAATAGTAGTCGTAACTACCAACTAGAATTTAAATCACAATGTTATTCATTAGTGTGTTCAAGAAAGTGGAAGAAATAAATATTCTAAATAAAACCAAAATTAAACCTTGTAATGTTATTAGCGCTAGCCAGAAATACTCTAACAAAATGTTTCTGTTGGAGAATGCTTGAATGTTTCAGTTTTCATTAACTAGCAAAGCCCAACAGAAAGTGGGAAGGCTTCTTCTATCAGAAACATGTTTGGTTTCCTGATGGCTTATACTCTCAAGTCTTCAGCAACCTCTCAGGTAGGCTGATGGGAGAATAGGAGGTCTCCAGTGCCTTCTGAATCTTGATTCCTTCCGCTCTTAAACTGTGGAGGAACCTGGGAGGTTAACAGTAAAGCTGCAGGGAGCAGAGCTCTCTATGCCTATGCAGGTCACCAGAGATGCCAAGGGACAGAAAAGGCCTGGCAACTGGGAAGCTCTGGGAGCATTACTTCACAGACTTGTGACTCCTTGATAGCCCAAGATTTCACACTAAGCAGGATCTTGAATAGCCCGTCAAGTCAGACTACCCCCTAGGAAGGGACTTCTGGGTCCACAATCTGAGAGTAACTTGCCAGACATACCACTGCCAAGTTTGGGGCCTCACAGGTTTCCCTTTCACAGAGAATTTCAGAAGTTTGGCACTGAAATTAGAACTGGAACAAAACCAAATTTCAAACTATTAAAGCTCTCCATAAAACCTAATCATCTTTCTCTGCACACCTCTAATGTTTCTATTAGTTCCCCGTGGCATTCAATGCAGTGACTTTGCAATACAGGAAACATCAGTTATTCTCAAAGTAAACAATGCTCTTGTAGGAAATACCAACACCTCGGCTTTCTTGAAATAGTTTTTTGTAGCGGCAAGAAGTTTGGCTGCAGTATAGTGTATTGCTTTATTTCAATATTGGTCAGAAAAAACGGAAGTATATTACACCCTTCTGTCTGTTCCCATTAAGATGTGGCTACAATTTGATTTTGCAAATTATTGTCAAGTATTTAATATTTATCAGCACTTTCAAACACACTATTTTAAATATTAAAAAGTTTGTAGGTTTTTTTGTTTAAGGAAAACGTCACTAAAAAGGAGAGGCGAGCAAGAGAAGAATGAAAGAAAAGTGCCATTAACATTCAGTTCTTTCACGCTGTTGAATATACAATCATTTTTATTAATAAATTGAAAACTGTATATATTTAGTTAGGTATCCTTTTGTATGGGGGCTGTGGGGTCCTGGAGTTATGTGCTTACATTAGGATCAAGGCATTTATTCAACATGCTGGAAGGAAAAGACTTGAAAATGTGATCCTGACCAGTGATTATTTAAGTTTGAGACTCTTATGCTCTTATTAAGTGTATGTCAAGGTTACTCAACATTGGAGGATCACTCTGATGGAGAGTTATGTACAAGCGCAATGTGAATAAATACATAAAACATTTAAACATCCAAAGTACAAATAACCAGTGAGTGAGTGGGTAGGCAATTCTGCAACAGGATGGACAAAAGCTTCAGAAATGCAAAACTACATGATAATTTCACCTTCTCTTCAGGTTACATTTAGGCAAAATAAGCAGCTTGAAAAATGCTCCAAAACACAGTATAATTATGAACACTGCATGGCAGTAAAAGAACAAAAAAAGAAATAACTCCTTAAAATCTGCTGAAGTCCATTAAATGAAGCCTGAAAGACAAACTTAAGGGGATCAGAGGTAAGGGAAGAGGCTCCGCATACTTTAGGAAGAGGTAATGGAGGCCTGAATAGAGGTTTCTCCCTGATCAGCAGAAGGGCAAGCAGTCTTGTAAAAGGTAAAGGGAACTGAACAGTCTTCTAACCTCATAAGAGTCTGTGCCTGAACCCACCCTCCTGAGAGTGTGCTTGGAATTTGGTATTTTCTTGCCACCTTGTCCAATAAGAAGAAAATACTGAACTTGAAAGTTACTGTCCTAACTTTCTTTTAAAATCAGAGGCAAGGCTGACCAGTAGTGCCTCCCATATCCCCCACCCCTAAATGTAAGATACTCTAATGCTTTAAACTTAAAAAAAAATGGTAAAGTCCCCCCATAGCCTAAACTCGCACATTAACTCAGACCCCTTCAAAGAACAGCCCAGTGAGATAACAGGGCTGTACCCTTTCCAAGAACAGTACAAACACAGAAGAGCAAGGTGGGGGGAATCATATCTGGGGAATCCTGATTCAATCTTGTAGTTCTACATGTGCCAGCAGGCTGCCAGACTTCCCCAGGACAATACTGTAGGGCAAAAGATGGAGAGGATGCCTGGCACTGTATGAATGGTAGTATTCATGTGAGATTGAGGACTGATTGTGCAAAACTACTTTAGAAAAAAGGTGAAACAACTAATATTTCCTCGACCTTTCTGATGGACAGAGTTAAAAAAGGCATGTGGGTGTGGAGTGTGAAACATTTCCTGTGTTGGTTCACTTTACTTTTCAGAAGAGAAAGTAAAGTGTTTGTAAGACACTGCCCATCTTTCTTTACTTAAATCTTGGGAAATGGACAGTCACATATTTTCCTAAACATGCAGGTAAACTAAGAGATAATGAAACCTAGAAAGCAAAATAGCAGATAGCGTCAAGAGTTTAACTCCAGGCCCTAGCAAGGATGGTACATCCCATAAGTGGGGAATCGTAAAGATTGTAACTAGTCTAGAAAAGCACTGGTCTCCCGGAGGCCATGAAACTTGAAGACAAAGAAAAATGTTGCCTTCACCCCCTCCCCCAAAACACACTGGTGTATTAGGAGGCTAAGATCCATTTTTAAGAGTGAAAAATGCTTATGAACCCAAGTCCCTCATATGAAGAACCAACTAGATCAATTCTGAATACATCTTCAGAGCCTGTAGCTGCAACCAAGGTGATAGCCATTTTGTGAGCTTAAATTCAAGAAGTTGCTACTTAACCATTAACTGATCTCAGGTTTATTATTTAGATTGTGATGGTAATTGTTATATAATAAGATGGCAGAAAGAATCCCTGGAGCAGTATATTATGCCGTACTGACCAAGATCATTGAGTGGCAACTCCTTTCCCAACCAACAAAGGAACTGGCTGAAATGTTCCAGGGCCTCTGCAGGTACTGGAAGCAAAAGAACACTCAGGGGAGCAGAGTCTACAGTTGCCACAGGGCACCAAACATCTTAGTTAGCAGAGTTTCATAATTAAACCATACCGGAGAAATGAGAACCTAGAGTAAAAGCCCTGAATTGGTGGTTTTTTAAATGAATACAGATTTATAGCCACATCTGAAGTTTAGGAAATAGTAGTTTTAATACAAGCCCTGGGAAACTTGAAGATAATTAACTTATCCTGAGGTGGCTTTTGCACATTTCATTCAAAAGTTAGAGCTGGGTGGGCAACATTTTCGGCCAGTGTCAAAAACACCCCAATCTCCACCCACGCGTTGACTTGGTGGCTGCCTGCTGTGAGCAGCTTGGGCTCCGTGGCTGATGGCAGATGCCCAGAGCCTGGGCCCGCTGTGGCATACCAAAGAAAGTGGCCTCACATGCCATGCTCTGGTATGGATGCCAGGGGTTGCCAATACCCAAGTTAGAGCCTGAAGTATAATAAAAATGCTTCACATATGCTATGGCTTATGAATAAAAGAAGGGTGTTTGTGCCCAAAAGCTTGCAAAGAACAATTTTTCTAACTATTTATTCTAATGAAAGATTTCAAATTTACCCAAAGAACCTTGTCTGCCTAAGTAAACACTTACCATTTATCCATCTCTAACACATTATTCTGTATAATAAAATTGCAACATATCTAACTCACTGTAAAACAGGTAATGAGTAAGTTACTAATTTCAAGAACTTCTCCATGGATTTAAGCATCGCCTCTTGTACATTCATATATTTCTCTTTATTTTCATTGTTTTGGATTTACTGATCTAATTACGCTAATGTTGTGATGACGACCTATTTGTTGTTCAGCAAACTCCTATTTCAATATTATATGTACAGAGAATTTTTTCCCCCCCCCAGACAGGACATTTTCAAGAAAGTCTGTTTTGAAGCCAGTTTAAAAATATATTTAAGCCATAGATAGACAGTGAAACTATTCAGCTTGTGTGTGAGATTGAACAAAAATGTATGCTGCATTGTCAGTAAGTAGAAAATACTTCTTTTTCTATTCCTGACTTGCGTGCGCATGCATGCACGTGCACACACACAAACAGAAAAACTCAATGGAACACAGTGTCATCAATTTAAAAAAAAAAGTTTCAAAAAGTATATGTATGAAGTCTTTTTATAGAGGATATTGGCTTCATGCAGAGCTCCTCTCAAAGGCTTACTGAAATATCAAACGAAAGGAAGCAGATTTGAAATGGATAGCTATCAAATCCAATAGCTGTATCTTCTCCAAGAACGAAGTCACAAATTTCCAGAAAAGCACTGAATGGACAATAAAATTAACACCTATACATAGCAAGGAACACCTGGAAAAGCACTGTTTATTGAGAATGTGAGTGAAAACAAAAGAAACCACCTCTGATGAAATTCTTGGTCAGGGACATCAAGCACCAATGCAAGAGAACATTTATTGCAAAACAAATTCAGAAGATACTATGGCAAGAAGTAAAATCAAATTCTAGCAGGGCAAAAAATTACTTAAACAAAAACAAATATACTACTTTGGATTCTCTGAGTTCACTGCCCAGTGCACTTAAAGTATGCATTAATACCATACTTAGGAGGATGGAAGGGAAATATTTCAACAGCTTAGAACAAAAATAGCTTTTTGTGGGTTAAAAATGAAGTTAAACATACCTTTTTCAGAACTGCATGATCCACTAAACACATCAGTTTGGAACAAATGTCAGGTGCCTAATGCAAGAGAGAGCTTGGAAAGTTACATTTAAAAAGAAGCGTGACCTCATTAAATGAGATCACAAGCAGCCATTTGAGAATCTTTCCAATGTAAAATGATCCATTACTGAGAAACTATGAGTTTAAGCCTCAAGTTTGTGAAAGGCACTTGCATTAGAGGCCTAGATTTTCAGCAGTTTATGGTCACTGAACAATTCTGTTCTAGGACATTTAATTAAAAACATTTACTGTATGTTGTCACTTCAAAAATATGAGAAAAATAATTAGGTGTGAAAGAGCATAATGCCTTCATGCAAGAGACAATTCTTTAGTCTTCAGAGCAAACGAAAATGGAAAGGTGCCAATGAAATACCTTACTGAAAATGGTGCTGTTTTCCACTATGCAATATGAACATGTCAGAAGTAAGGCAAAAACCTCTCTGGTTAGATAGTCTCCCTAGCTCTAAACATATTTCTTCCCCCCTACCCCATACCATATTGTTCTTTGTTCTACACTTGTATAACACCTAAAACCTAATGGGTCAGAATTACACATTTTTGTTGCTCCTATTCACCAAAAATTAATTCTCCCTGCTCGTGTAAAAAGCCTTGCACTAACTATAGTTTTATCTTATTTACTCAAGTCAAATTTCCATTCTTGTCCAAACAATAGGTGGTACTGTTCTTTTCTGTAGAGTTGGCCAATGTTCACAACAGGATTTTCTCAACGATGAAACCCACTTAGTTGAGAAACCGAGCCAAGGTGGGAATTGTTAAGACAGCAGAAATCCATTTGTATCCATCTGTGTAGGTCTCACAAATAAACTAACACTGATCTAAAAGAACAGTTTTGGTAGTTCACTAAAGCATACAGAGTTTCTACCTCAACCTTATTTATTACTGGTCAAAAACTAAAAAAAAAAATGAAGATGATGATGGCAATTTAAGGTTTAACAAACTCAACCACTCATTACACTATCAAGTTACATTATGCTTTCCATGAAGGATCCAAATAGCATTTGCATGTTTATCTGTCTACCCATAAAAGATGAATTCAGGTGAAAATGGCTATAAGATTACCAGGACTTGAATATAACCCATCTGAGAGAGATAGACAGTTAGTGGCTTGTGAGTATTTTAACAGTACATTTGACAAGAAGAGTATCAAAGCAGTCATTCCAGAAAGTATTAAATAGCCATTATGACATCAGGCATAGATACTGAAGAGACAAGAAAACACAAAGGATTGTGAGTCTTCTAGGTAAGGGTTACCATAAGTCCTCCTGCACAAAAAATTCTAATACATTCCACTTGATACATCTGTGGATTTCTAAAGCATATTTTAAAGGCAACCAAGATGAAACCTAGAAAACCAATATAAATATAAGCTTAAAATATTTAACATTTTAGAAATACTTCATCCAAAGGACACCACACATTGGTTACTACTAGTAAAGTGAGCTAATCAGAAAAAACTCACCAGTAGACTAGCTCCAGACTGGAATAAGTTGTAGGGGTAAAGAATACGCTCATAATGTGCACGGATGTGTGAACCCACAGCCTTGCCAGGAGCAAAACCCATTCTTGTGGCTATTTTGGTCCATTTCCTCTCCTTACAGACTACATCAAATCCACCTTCTTCTGCCACTAGCTATAAACAGGAAGACATAACGGTCACACTCTCAAGAATAACATTATTCTTATTATAAACATTTAAAGAGATATCACCAGCAGAAGGGGGGGAGGGGAGAAGAAGAGAAGGCAAGGAAGCAAGCAAAGGGAAAAGTGTTTTCTGTTAATAGCTGCTACGGTAACCAACAAATACTTTATATTCAGCTTTCATATTAAGAGAAAGCTAGAGCTTTGATACTTTATTTAGTTTGTCATAAAATTTAATGTTTTGGTAAATATTCCACAATGAGTCTAACAGGAAAATTAGATAAAGCAAGGCTTATAGTCCTGCCTGAAGAACTTTAAGCTACCCTCCCAAAACACTAAATACTTAATCAGCACTCCAACACTATTTTCTAGTGTAATGTCAACTATACACATGTCTAGAGTCCATTTTATAGTGTATGAACCTGTGGTGCTCACTTTCTATGCAAGTAGCTTATCACAGAAAGCAAGTTTACATTGTCTAGAAGCAGAAGGCTCATGACATCTTTTGGGGTAAAAGATAAAAAGCTTTTTTTTAAAAAAGTCTTACCCTATTAAGTTGAAATAAATCCAAGATCTTCCTCTCTACATGTGGTATTTTGAGTGTACATCCTTGGAGCTCCCAAAACTTTGCAATCTGGTCCAGAAAATTCAGTTTTACACGAGTCTGAGCCTAATAGAAGACAATCTGCATTCAATAGGCAGCACAATTTAGCTCCCATTTTTCAACATTCAGTGTCCAAGCCTTTTCAAGTTCTGCTACAATAGCCTCAACCACCTGCTCTTACATTTCTTCCCCAAGCAGACTTCTACACTGCCTTCCGTGCTACCCCTTCCTCCCAGACAAAAAGCCATAAAGCCACCCCCCTACCTGACTTCAAGATGTCCTCAAAAGTCACTTTCCATGATGCATTCAAAAAACTAGTATCTGAGAACAGCCAGGCAGGAGACAAATTATTATTTTAGCCTATGACTGGCTAAAAAAAGTGTACCAATAACTAACTTGTGGTAAAAAGTTAACCTTTGTTGCCAGCATTATTTTCCCATGGCCACCCACGTGGTAGTCTCATATTCATGAGCATAAGATGTTGATGGCAGAGACAGCCATTTACTATGCTTGTACAGTGTCTAACTGTAAAACAGAGCCTTGACCTAACTGGGGCCTGTTAAAAATAATTTTGAAGAAACAATTCACACCATCCCCTCAGCATATTTTAGCCAATTCTATAGTAGAGCCAAATTTTGCCCCCAAAATAACACTGCTGTTTATGTTCACTAGAGATCCTTCCTTCTTTCTAAAGACATTTTGAAGAGATTCAGTTTTCATGTTTTATGTTGCATCTGGTTTTCAGAGGTACTGAACCCCTGAGAAGTGTCAGTTGAAATCAATAGGAGCTGCAGGTGATCACCTTGGTGAAAAATCAGGTCCATTCTTTTTCAAAATACCACTTGTTTTTTTAATGCAGTTTGGAGCAAAGGTGACCTTCCGCTTCATTGTATACTCCTAAATAATTCTCATTTTGACAAAATAATTGTTTTAAATTATTTGTGTATGTAAGTAGGCCAATACTAATATCAATGGAATCAGTTTATTATACTACCTCCAATTCGTTCAGCCTCTGTATCCGTGGAGTAAAGTGAAGTTTATCAACGTCACATGCAAACGGTGGTTGCCAATCCTAAACAGAAGAGAAAAATTAAATGTTTTTGTGTGTACGCTTATCAGCAAAACTTGGGTGGCCCTCATGCATACATTATGATCCAGGAGGATCGACGATTCCCATCAGCAAAACTAGACTAGTTAAAGCAAACGTCACTCCCCCTCCATCTTCAAATTTGAGTATATTTTCCCCCCTCCCTCCCAAGTGGTTTCATAGAAAAAAATAGCCAAGGAAATTAAGAAAGCAAAACATCTTCATGTTATCTGCAAGAAAATTAAAAATAAATACTTTAGTGCAGGTACGAGTCTTACTTTTATTAACAATTATGTTCCAGTGCCTTTAATATCCTTGTATCAAAATAATATTGGTCTTTCACTGACATACTAAAGAGTTGCACAGAGTTGGCACATCTATATGAGATGTTTACAGTTGCTTAAATTACCTCCACAGTAAACCATAACTGTCTATACGTGCGGTACTATTAGGACAGAGTAAACTAATCAACTCTGCTGTAGGATAGTACTGCCAAACACAAGTACTATCCAGTGGGGGGAGTTATTTACGCCACTGCAATGCATATGTTGATGGGGCTGGCTGGGACGTGAGGCTGCTGCAAGTGCAGGGGTTCCCAGCTGGCCAGCCCCGCAATGAAGCATCCTCACGTCCCAGGTAGCCCTTCCGCAGCATGCTGTGTCAAGTCAGAGCAACCCCAAGCTGGCAGGCTGACCCCCAGGGTCCCCTGCCAACTGGGGCTGCTCCACCCCGGCTCAACATGCACACCCAGGAGTTTATTCAACTGCATTAATAGTACATGCAGACATTCCCACTAATTAGCTTTTTAATCCCACATAGATTCACATATACAAATTGGTCTTTCTTGTATGATCTTTGGCAGCAGGTGAGAAGGGTAATGCATCTCTCAGCATTATGAATCTCACTAACTGCAAAGGCCCATTTGAAACCGTCACCTGGAAATTTTGTCTGTCAAACTCGCATAGGAGGTTTACTGTAAAGAATTTACTGTGCAATTTCTTTTGTGCAAAACAAGGTCAAAGAAATCTTTAACTTCTAGATAAATGTTATAATTAACAAATATATGCAACATAAAAGGTGAACATTGCTCTCAGGCAAAACAGAATCTAAACTAAACTAAACTAAACTAAACTATTTCATTAATGACAAAGCAAGTTACGAGGCAGACATTGACTTTACTCCTGGGAAGGTAATTATTTGAAATCAGAGACTTTAAATGCTCACGGGACAAACACAGCAGGTAAATATTTTCTTTGCTTCTCATACATGATAGTCTTAGCAACAGGAGCTACAATGACAACCAAGTAACAATACTTCAACTGTACCCAACTTGGAAATATTCAGTAATAGGTGACATCTGTTCAACAAAATAACTAAAAAGCACTAATACAATGACGGATATCATAGAAAAACAGGACTAGAATAGACTTCATGAGAACATCTAGTCCAATCCCCTACGCAAGCCAGGATCACCCCTCTCTCAACCATCCTGGACAAGCGTTTGCCTAATCTGCTTCGAAATGTTTCCAAGGACAGAAATTCCAGAAAGCTCTCCAGGCAGCCTGTTCCAATAGTCAGAAAGTTCTTTGTAATCTCCTCCCAATTTCCTCTGCTGTAGGCTGACACCGTCGCTCCTAGTCTTGTCCTCCATGGCCACAGAGAAAAGCCCATCTCCATCCTCTTTCTTATCTCCCTTCAGGTATTGAAGACTTGTCAAATCCCCCCTTCCATCCTCTCTCTTCTCCAAACTACACAACAGTACAGGCAGTCCTCCAACTTACGACACAATTGCTTCCTAAAAATCATGTCTTAAGTCAAAACGTTGCAACTCAGAACCAATTTTCCTATAGGAAACAATGTTATAAATGGGGGATTGGTTCCTGAACCAAGGCCCGATACCCTATTTTCACCAAAAATAACCCAGAATTTTGTACTCGATCCATTACAGACGAGTAATATAGCTACATTAATGTACTTATATTGTAAGCAGCAATCATATTGATTTGGAAGGACTTCTTTGAGGTGACTTTGCTTTTTGAAGGGCTCTTGGCTGGAGTCTTCTCAGGAGTCCTGGCTGCAAGTTTTTCTGGAGTCTAGTCTGCTTTCTTAATAAAAACGTGGAAGGAAGTTTGGACAGATGTTCTCCAGGGAGATGGGTTACACAGTGAACTTGTTCACTGGTGTGGTGTTGGATGAAGCATTTTAAAGTCAAAACTGATGTCAGAAAGTTGAAACAGGGTGTCCCCAAGTGTGAAAAGTAACTCAAAACATTGTAAGTCGATGATTGCCTGTACTTTCTTCTTCAAACTAAACAGTACTCATTAGTTCAGCTTTTCCTCACAAGTCATGTTTCCCAGACAACTAATCATTTCTGTGACTGATAGAGTCTTTCCAATCTGTCCACACCTTTCTTGAAACGCAGGGTCCAAAACTGCATGCAGGACTCCAGATGAGTTCTTGGCAAATGGAGTCGAAGGTCACTTCCCTCGATTTGCAACTGACACTCCTATAAATACAACCCAGTATAGTTACTTTGTTTTATTTATTGCAACAAGGCCACACTGATAGCTCCTATTCAGCTAATGGCCCACTCTAACCCCTAAACTCTCCCTTTGCAGTACCACAGCCTAAACCAGTGGTTTGCAGAGTGCCACAAGCCCGTTCCATGGGAGTCACAGTGCAGACGCCACTGTAGCCAAATTAAAATGTCCCATGTGCCTCCTGCAGAGGCAGGTCAGGAAGCAGCTGTGGTTGGAGGCCACACTTTTGCCACAGCCCTTCCCAGTCTGACCCCACAGGCCTTTTTCACTTCTCATCCAGAGGGGTTGAGGCTGGGCTGCAGCAGCCCTTTACAGTGCTCAGCCAAATGAGTCCTACTGCACTGGCGCAGCTGTGTGCACTGCCCAGCCAGAGAAGCTGACTGCAGGGACACCCTGGGCAGGTAGAGACCATTCTCCTTTCCACCCCCTGCCCCAACATCCCAGGTGCACAGGGGAGTTTGACCCAGGGCACAAAACTCCTTAGTTATGCCTCCGCTTCTGCCTACTTTAGGTTTATCAGAAAACCCTAATACAGGCAGAAGTGCGCAGCAGCACCTTGGTTAAGAATCAACAAGGAAAGCAGAGGTGGTACAACAGTGGTTCTCAACCAGGGCTGCCACCAAATTCAAAAAGCAAAAAGCTGTGGATGGGGTGCCCTGGCTCTAAAAAGGTTGAGACACACTGGCCTAACCAATCATTCCCCTGTCTATATCTGTACATGTGATTATTCTGTCCCAAGTGCAGGATTTTGCATTTGTTCTTGTGGAATTTCACCTGACTGATTTCAGACTACTTCTCCAGTTTATCCAGGCCATTCTGGATCCTAGTCCTAACCTCCATCGTGTCTGCAACTCCACCCAACTTGGTGTCACTCCCAAAGTTGTGAATAGTGCATACAATCCCATTCTCCAATTCATTAGTGAAACTGTTAAACAGTACCAGACTCAGGTCAGATTCCAGGGAAGCCCCACTTGATACTTCCTTCCAACTAGACCTTGAACCATTGCTGACTGTGAACATAATGATCCAATCAGTTATGTATCCACCCATCCACTGCTCTGCCCCACCCATAGGGCCTGTTACCTTGTCACAGAAGGAAATCAGGTTAGTTAGAAATGACTTGCTTTGGATGAATCCGAATGGGCTGTTCCTGCTTACTTTGCTTTCCTGTAGATGCTTGGAAATAGATTCCTTGATGATATGCTCTATAATACTTCCAAGTATTGAGGTCAGTGTGACCCATTTCTAATTTCCCAGATCCCCCTGCTTAAAGATGTGCACCATATTTGTCCCTTTTCCAGTCATCTGGTACCTCACCAATCTCCATAAGTTCTCAAACAGTATTTGGAGCTAATAGGTCTGAAATTACCTCGGCAAATTCCTTTGGTATTCTAATATTCATCCCATCGTGCCCTGATGTGAAAACATCCAGCTTTTCTAAGTTACCTCTAACCTTTCTCTAGACTGCTGATCTCCTTGTCGAGCTTTGCTGCCAGCTGTGCTCATCATCTGCCAGCTGACCTTATTCATGTAGTTAAAAAAAAAAAAGGCATGAAATACGTTAGAGGCAATGGATGCTGCACAGAAGGCTGCATTCAATAAGGGACCTGAACTTTCCATGGTCTTCCCTTATTTCTGACATGGTGGCAGAATGCCTTTTGTTGCCGTATGCCCCTTGCTAGCTGCATCTCAATTTGTCTTGGCCTTCCTGATTTTCTCCCTAAATGATCATGAGATAGTCACACCCTTCCCTAGTGAGATGACAATATTCCAATTCCTTTTTGGTGTTTCAACTCATTGAAGGGTTCACTGTTTAGTCAAGCTAATCTCTTGCTGCACTTCCCAGCCTTTCTTTGTATCAGCCTTCTCTTCTGCCATTATTATAGTGCAACCAACTATCCTGGATTCCTTTCCCCACCCAAATCTACCTTGCATGATGCTCTGTCCACCTGATCCCTGGGACCCAACATGAACCAGACCCAGAGCCAGCGCACAGGATCAGTCTGGTGGAGCACCCCATGCAGCACTTGCACTGTGCTAGCCCCATGCACCATGCGCAGAGTGAGCCTCAGAGTGGCGCCCAGTGTACTACACACAGTATACAGAGCTGGACCAGCCATGAATGCTGCATGCGGCACACGGGGCCAGGGTGGGATGCAGTCTGTATGTGGTGCCCTGCCAAACTGGCCCTGCCTTGGCTCTTTGTGGCCCAAGGCAGACCGCAGACCAGATTAGCAACTTCCATCTGGCCTGTGGGGCTGGATGAGTTTGACACCCCTGTCCTAGAGCAAGGGGCAGCAACCTACAGCCTACAGACTTGATCTAGTGGGAAGGTCTGATCTTGTGTGTGTTTTACTAACCAAGTGCCAATTCTCAACTGTCCAATTTGGTGCATCTTCTGCATTTTCTGATAAGCAGACTGATCCCCTGCTCCACCCCTGCTCT